GCTAAATCAAAATCCCTGCTATGCGATTGTCACTTTCTTAAAACATATTAATCATACAACACTTATTTTAACATGCATAACTCATCTGTGCCAGTCCAATCATTGTTGATAATTAAATCAAATCGGCAGCCTCCACCATGTAAACTTATGGGGTTTTCTTTTACTTTAAATGTGAAAAATACAAAATGACTACAACTAAGCTCAGTATACTCGCTTGGCATATGTGAGAATACTCAGGAACTGATTGAACTGACACCATTGTATGAGTTACTAAATTTTATTTCATTATTTAGTCTAATGTATATAACCCTTTAAAACACAATAGGCCTATATATATAATAATCAATAATTCAAATGACGTATTTACCAAAGGAATTAAATATCTTTGGGGCCCCAGTATCAAGATAAGAGAATTGAACACATATAAGATTAAAAGTGATAGATATAATACATATGTAAAACGACTCGATCTTAATTAATTAAACCCTTTAAAAAAATATATAGATATTCATAAAATGTTATTAATCTACATCTTTGCCATTTGGCCAAAGTCCAGTTCACAAAACTTAAAACACAAGGCTAATATGAAATTCTATAAAATTAATACACTTAACAAACAAAGACTATTTACATTTAGCAAGCTACCAAATATACACGTTTGAAAATAAAATACTAAATGAGAACTTACTTGGGCTATTTCAAATACATTATTTTACAGGTTTAACCTTTAAGGCTATATTGTTGTTGTTTTTATTTAGCAGGAAATAATATTTGTATTATTATTTATGATTTATATCATCGATTATTTAGGTTTTAAATTTTTATTTTTAAGTTAGGTTTAATTTGAATGAATTGTAGTTATTTAGCTTAGGCCCTTTTTTATGTAATTTAAATTTATCTTCTTTCTTCTAAAATTTGTTGTCCTGGGAATTATAATTGAATTTTGACATACCGAGGAGAAGATCTTGAGGGTAGATGAATTCCCCCGAGGTGACGTCTCGTGATGTCCAGGCCTCCCCTTGTCTCCGTTGTTGGATGACTCGGTGGTTGATCCTGGTCCTCGATGGTGGATGACGACCCCCTGGAACCTCTTCTCTCGGCGTGGGCTGAGTAGGTGAAGTAGTTTGGCCTAGGACGTATTCAGGTGGCAGATTTTACCAATCCTGATATATTAAGTGGGGTCTACTCGATCCGACCCCGTCCTAAGCCTCGCAAATCTTCTTCCAGACTGATGCCATCTTGCTCCTCCTGTCCCTTCCTTTTTTTTTAGATTTCCCATCATTCTAATTAACCCTGCCTACAGTGTCCAATCATAGATGACCCCTTTGGTGCTCAACGTTGTGATTGGCTGCCACTTCGATCAGCAGTTCACTGTAGACGTCAGGTTGTGCGTCCATTGCCCGGGACCTTGAATATGATACTTGTAGACTCGTCGGTGCCATTCAACATGTCTCTTTGTATTAGAAAATTGTAATATTTGATTTACTTGAATCAGTAGCAAGTTTTAAATGGGCCTAATACGAATTTTAAAGATATGATGGTTAAAGATGAAATTTAAGAATTTATTTAAAATATAAATATGTTTACAGTCGACAACGCTCGCCCACTCCCAATAAATGTAATTTTTTGTTAACATCAGACGACTCTAGTTGTTTTAAAGTGTCTATATAGATTTTAAAAATCTTACTGTTGCTACAGTATATGATTTTGACTCCAAAGACGTAATTGGAGATCAAAATTTGGACGCATAACTTAATTAATTACTATTTTACAAAACCTTTCAATTGAACGGATAATATACTTCTACCCCTTAAAATCCTGATTGGTATATACTTAGAGGTAAAAGAAAAGAATAACATTTAATAAAACATAAACGGAGCAATGTTTTTATTTTTAAAAGTATTTGAACTCCAGTGAATCTCCATTTATCACAATACAATTTTACAAGTTACGTTCTACGTTGGGACTAGAGTTTTCATATTTATTGTATTTTTGCCCCAAGCGCGGGACCCCCTTCAACCCATTCGCCGCGGCCGTACGTTCGGGCGAGCGGCTTCATTGAAACTGAAACTTGTCCGTCACAGCCTATCACATGCTCAGCTCATGTAAACCAGGCCTAAGCGTGGGGCCCAGTGCAACTCTGAGAAAAAGTCCCTTAGGGTCAAGAATCTCATTCCTAGTAATGCCTTAAAATGCACCTAACAATAACCTTAAAGATAGGATAGCGAAAATAAAAATAAAGCTGTTACAAAAGAAGGCCATTTGTTAAGTGTCTGATCAATTTTCGAAGTTAATGATAAAAACTAATGTACAAAGGGGGCCCCTGGCGGGGCCCCCCTTGGCCCGGGGGCCCCGGGCGTTCGCCCCCTTCGCCCATAGGTAAGTCCGGCCCTGACAGAAGGCCTATGTAAGCAAAAAAAGTGGGTTGACGATGTATCAAAATTGAAACAGTCTGAAATAGTCCACTTAGAATCTCAATTCAGAAAACTCAAGGACAAAAATATTAAGATTCAGATTAGAAAAAAGAAAAAAGAACTTCAAAGATATATAATTAACAATAAAAAAACTTACTTTGAGGAAAAAGTTACAAACTCAAGAAATAAAGTTAAAACTACCTGGAACTTAATTAATTCCGAATTGGGAAAATTGTCAAAATGTAATACAAATATAAAATTGATGCACGAAGGTAGTTATATCACAAATCCAATTGATGTTTGCGAAACTTTTAATATATTTTTTGTCAATATTGTAAAAGATTTAATAGTTCCTAAAATAACCATAGTGCCTCCAGCAAATACTCAGTTTAAAACACATTTAAAAACAACTCTTCAATTTTCAACTGTCACGGAGAGAGATGTTGAAAAAATAATATTATCTTTTGAAAATAAACCCTCACCAGGCAATGATGAAATACCTATATCAACCATTAAGACAGCGTTGCCATTAATCTGCTCACCTTTAACTCATATAATTAATCATTCACTGATAACAGGAGTGTTCCCCGAACAATTCAAAACTGCCAAAGTAGTTCCAATTTTCAAAAAAGGTAATCCAGAAGATATTAATTGTTACAGGCCTATATCACTGCTTCCAGTATTCTCAAAAATCCTTGAGAAAGTTGTTTTCAACCAATTTTCAAACTACCTTGAATCAAACATGTTGCTGGATAATGAACAGCATGGTTTTAGGCCAAATAAGTCAACTATAACAGCCGGTATTGAGTTTGTTGAGTCAATAATCGAATCTGTTGATAGAGGTGAAAGAGTCGTTGGCATTTTTTTGGACTTATCCCGAGCTTTTGATAGTGTTGAGCACTGCAAACTGATCCAAGTTATAAGCTCTCTAGGTGTAAAAAGTACAGAATTGGCTTGGTTTTGCTCCTACCTCACAGAAAGGAAACAATATGTAGAAATAGAGTATTTTACAGATCATCAGAAGTTTATGTATAACGAAAAATTTGCTTCTCGTCCATTACCAATCCAATACGGTGTCCCTCAGGGATCTATTCTCGGCCCATTACTGTTTCTATGTTACCTAAAGGGGCTACCTAGAATGATGGGGGATAGAAATAGAAAAGTGTGTCTTTATGCAGATGATACCAACGTCATTGTCTCGGCCAACAATAAAGAGAACATAGAAATATCATCCTACGTTGGCTTATCACTGATTAAAGACTTTTTAAATAGTAAAAATCTGCTATTAAACTCCAGTAAATCAAGTTTTGTATCTTTTTCAACAAAAAAAACAAAAAATAGAATAAGTCCAACAATATTCCTAGAAGATGAAATACTAAATCATTTAAATGAAATCAAATTCTTAGGCTTGACTATAGATGAACAGCTATCTTGGGACAACCATATTAATCATATTATGAATAAAACCTCAAGTGGTCTATATGCTTTGAGGAGACTGGTCTACTCCTGTAATATTAAAACCTTAAAATCCATATATTTTGCTCTAATACATTCACATATTGCTTATGGTGTTTGTATAATATATGGATCAACAACAAAGAAGAAAATGGATAAAATTCTGATTCAGCAAAAAAAGAGCTTTAAGAATAATGTTTAATTTAAAATCAAAAGATTCTGTAAAACATATTTTTAAAGATTTAAAAATATTCACAGTTTACAGTTTATACATTTATGAAACAATAAAATTTACATTACTTGGCAATAGGATTTTGATTGGCAATACAACACATTCTTATAATACTAGAGCTCATCGTTTAGTAGAACAACATAATTTGGAATTTTTCAAAAAGAAAACAACATATGTAGGAAATAGATTTTTTGATGGCCTCCCAGGAAATATTAAATTGGAAAAAAACCAAAATAAGTTTTTGAGACTATTGAAGGCATACTTGATTGAATCAACGTTTTACTCTCTCCAACATTTTTTCTCGTAGTCAAAATTATTATATTTAAGACATACCTGAAAATTATAATTAGAAAAATCTTTGCTGCACGTGGTTATTCTAGGATATAGTAATTACTGTGTGTTTTTATTAATTTTTAAGACTCAGTTGTAGTTATTTTATATTATTTTTTTCCACGATTTCTTGGAGTGATGTGTGTAACGTATGTTGTATATATTATCCTAAGAACTGTGGGATGTATTTTTAGATATTAAAAATATATGTATAATTTAGGTTAGATCTGACTCTATTCTTTGTAAACAATTTACATGTGACAGAATAAAGAAGTTTTGAATTGAATTGAATTGAATATGAGGGGTTCTACCTTGGTTGAAAATGCTTGCAACAGAGTTAGTGATTTCTCCACTGACATGTAGTAAGTGATTCCTGTTAGATCCAACCAAATAGTCTAATTGTTTATGTTAGTAGTATTTTGTACATATTACCTTAATCAAGAGATGTTCATTTCACCTTTGTAAAGTGACTTTCCAATATAATGTATTTTGCAATTTAGGAATAAAAAACTTATCACTAATAATTAAAACAAATTTCCTTTATTGAAAATGTCTGCTTCCTTTTTCAGGTCCCCACGATGATAGTCCTCGTAAGCTGGAATACTTTGAGTTTGTCATGCATTGCCCGTCCGACTACTACCGAACTAAAACCCCCTTCCCTGACGGATTGCCTGACTTCAATCGCCCTTCTGTTTGGGGCCGTATGAATGCGATAGAAAAAGTGCAAAAAAAGTGAAATTGATGTGATATACAAAAAAAGCAATTTTACTAAAACATGAAAACCAAGACTGTTTCAAAGACTGCTGCTTATGAATATACTCGATGTTAAATTAGTTGATAGACTTTTTTACAATGAACAAATGTTTATTATGTTTAGGATAGGAAAAGAAAACTCATGTTCGTTTTTTGAGAAAGATTTGATTTTTTTTCAACTAAGTTGCTTTGTTTTTGGTCTGGACATTTAGATGGTAAAAAGTTAGATATTTATAATTTAAAAGGTCTTAAACATTTTCAAGAATCAAGACAAGAGAAAGAAAAGAACATTTTTCTGTAATGTTCTGATTTAAGTCTTAATCCATTCGTTTACTTGATTAATTTGTTTAAGGCAACTTAAAAATAGGTAAAGAGATCCTTGACTTGGAGGTGTCCGTAGTGTTTTCAATATTTAATACATATTTGATTCCTGCAAATCTCATAACAGTGTAATACTGAACTATAAATAGTGTACCAATTACATTGCTTCTGGCTTTATGTTTGGTTACAAAAAATTGAAGCAGTTACTAAGCTTTCATTTTTGATGAATGGCTTATTTTTCTGTACACAATTTTTATATTACTCCAACTGTTACTGTTAATTTACTCCAATCTAAGTATAATATGAGGTTATGATTTCATTACCTTTTTAATTTAATTATGTATACCTATTTTAGTTTCAGTTGAATTTCATGGCTTCACTTAAGTTACATGGTCATGATTCTTACAAGAAGTGTATCAAATTATTAGACTCTCTTTTCTCTGGCTCAGCAAAAGAATTGAAATTGGACAAATTGTAGCAACTGTCGACTCTTAACAACTAAAACGAACCATACCTATATCCGTTTTTAACTACTTACCCTGCTCTTTTAGAGAGGGTTAAGTAAGGATGATCAAGGTTCTACTGTATTATTGTCTAACTTTTGTTGTTACCTTTTTGTAATTCTAGTCAGGGAAATATGAAAAAGTTCATGTTAAAGGTTTTGTTTAGAGTTACAAGTTGTGATACAGAGACATTATAATTTTAAGTGATATCCTTGTATATGGTTTAATAAAGGACATTTTTATTCACTTAAGTAACCATTCGTTCTTTATCTATTGAACTATAACACTATTTATACCTTGTCTGTTATTAAAGCTTACAGTAGACTCCCTCTTATCTGGACTCCTAGGGCCCGAGGCCAGTCCGGATAACGGGTTTTCTGGTTAAACCGACGTCCCCAGAAACTCGTTAAAACGGACTGTTTACTTTGATATTCGACTTAAATTTAGGATAGCATTGTATTTAGACATGTGTTCACTGGTCTCGAATCTTTCCCACGAGAACAGTTGTTTCAGTACTGCCCACTTCATCCTGATATAGTCCGGTTAAACCAATGTTTTGATATAAATTGTCCGGTTAAAGAGATGTCATTTCCGCCGAGTGTAGTCCGGTTAAAAGGTGTCCGGATAAGAGGGAGTATACTGTATGTATATTTTGAAATAATTTTCATTTTTGAATTGATAAAAAAACCATCTGACATCCAAAAGACAGTGAAATGTCAACTATTTAATAATTGTCAACTCTACTGACGTGAAGGGTTGAAACTGTTACACAAAATGTACTGGTTACACATTTATGCAGTTGATCGAAATATATCTCAGCAATATCCATCTGGGTCAAAATACCCCCGCCGCAGCAAACCTGCCGACTAAGCGAATTTCCAGTTTCCTGAATTGATTTTCAATTAAATGTATTTAATTAACATTAATTTTTATGAGTACATAGGCTTGATGCTACAGGGAGGGTAAAAAAGTGTGTTTTTTAGAGAAATATTAATAACTTAGTATAAAATAAATAAATTTACCAAGTTTGATCAAAATATATCCATAAACAAGCAGACTACAACATTTTACAATATTCCCCATAAGAATAACATGGGAATTTTAAAATAACAATTATTTGAATTTTCTCCGTAACTAATAATAGTACAAAAACACTTTGATATACTAAATTATTTGTTTTTTTAAGCTCTTTAAGAAGGTCTGAAGAGAAATTGGGAAATTTTGCGTTTGGAGGGTCAAAAATTAGAAAAACCAATTTTTACCCCATAAAACCCCCCGTAAAACCCCGTTCCCATGGTCCGATCATGCTGGTTCGCGAACTCATTCAAGTTTATCCCGCCTTACACCTTCAAACCAAATTTCATCAAAATCGGATAAAAATTACTCAAGTTATCGTGTTCACGGACACATATATATATATATATAAATCTATATATATACAGTAGAACCTCTTTAATCCGAACCCCTGTAATCCGAACGTCCACTAATCCGAACTCCTCATTGCTGTACTCTATACACAGTACAGCAGTTCTTTATTGTATACTGTATTTAATTTACAGTACTGTTTATTCACCATGTTTACTACTGTATTAAATAAACACTGTATTTTACTTTATAAAACATTTTTTCACTTTTCCCAAATTAATGTTGATCAATTTTAGCCATGTTTTAGCTATTGTTATGTAAAAACAACAATATGTTCTGTAATCCGAACTATTCAATAGTCCGAACTACCCCTGGTCCCAATTAGTTAGGATTAAAGAGGTTCTACTGTATATACATATATAAAAATTTGAACGAATGGTGTTTCTGGCCTCTGGGGACATCAAAATGAAAAAGTAAATCGGTCCCGGGCCTAGGTCTTACCATGCCACCTAGGGTAATAGCTACTTCCCTATAGGGAAATTCGCTAAAACTGTATGGCGCCTCCTTCAATTTAAATCACTGAAAATTATGCATACTAAGGTGACCATGGGAACCTTATATATCATTAGAAACTTGATTTTGATTACTGTAATGCCTCTTGTCTGCTTGTCTCTGTCGCCATTAATGTGTTAAGTGAATTGAATACAAACATGAACGATTGAAAGGATCGTCTAGGGAAGAAGAAAAAAACCTAAGACGACAAACATTATGTTTGTATAAAGAATATAAAGTGGTAGAGGCATTTTTAAATGTAACTGAGCGTTGATCATTATTATTGTGAACTAATCAGTTCTTCATGTGAGGTAGGTAGGTGACGGGTGTTATGTGAATTTGTGACTGTATTAAGTGTTTTGAAGTTAGGTTAGATAAGGAAGGTTAAGTTTAGGTTTTTTTTATTTTTTTTGTGGGGGCTGGGGTAATGGCATACCCCTAGCTACTTCGGCCTGGAGACCTTTTGTAGCACCCTTTAATTCATTCTGACAGCCCTAGGCTCCTCAAGTAGCCCAGGAGCTGAAAGACACCCAGCTTCCTTATCTCTGTTGGTTCCAGGAATAACCTCCCCAGAGATGTAACCTATACATTGGTCTATGGGCCAACGCTGGACAGTCCAGCCATAAGTGTTCTGAGGTTTCTACCTCGTTCTCACAGAACCTGCAGAGGTCTGTCTGTGACCTCCCTATGGTCCTGAGATGTTTCCTGATAGGACCGTGCCCTGTTAACACTCCTACTAGTAGACTAATGTCCCCTTTCTTAAGGCTCAGCAAGTCTTTCCAACCTTTATCAGTAGGGTCGATTAGTAATTTGGACGTCCTCATACCTGGGTGGTTCATCCAGGCCAGAGCCTTTTGAACCTTGACCCAGTCTTGGACTTTGGCTACTCCTGAGCTTATGGGGGTACCACAGTAGGGTTCTGGTCCTGACAGTTGGTCTTCCGCACCCTTCCTGGCCAATGCATCGGCTTTTTAGTTCCCCTCATGCCCCGAATGTCCAGGAACCCAAGACAATTTGACTTGGTTTCGCTCTGCTAACTTTTTGAGGGTGTTTTTACACCCTTTTACTGTTCGTGACTGTGTCACACATGACCCCAGCGCCTTCAATGCTGCCTGGCTGTCAGAGAGAATAAGGATTTTACCCTTTCTTAGGTTCTTGCTAATAATATTATTAGCACAGCACTCAATCGCCAGGACCTCTGATTGAAAAACTGTTGTTGTTCTGCCGAAGGCCAGAGATATTTTGGTTTTGTTACCATACAAAGAATATAAAGTGGTAGAAGCATTTTTAAATGTAACTGAGCGTTGATCATTATTATTGTGAACTAATCAGTTCTTATTTAGACATGTGAGGTAGGTAGGTGACGGGTGTTATGTGAATTTGTGACTGTATTAAGTGTTTTGAAGTTAGGTTAGATAAGGAAGGTTAAGTTTAGGTTATAATGAATCAAGTTGTTGCTCCAACCTGTTTTACTATTGAAATAGTGCTTTAAACACAATAAATAATAATTTTAAAAGTGCAAAAACAGTCTGGAAATAACATATATAAACAACTCGATTCATTATAACATAACCTAAACTTTAACTTCCCTAATCCAACCTACCTTCAGGAAGGGTTTCTGTTAATGCAGTCACGTATCCGCAAGACGCCCGACCTACCTACCTCACATGTTTTTCCATCTTATAAAAACTAATTTTAAGCTGTTCGAGAAGTTTGGTTGGGTTATGTTAGGTTAGAACAGTGTCAATTTGTAATATTTAAATTTTTTCAAAGAAGTTTGTTCATAGAATAAAAATATCGGCTAGTCTAGGTTTAGTTAAGTCTGCCACTACACCATTATTATAATGGGACAAAACGTTACATGGTGAAAACCTAAGCTAAACCACTCGGTGAAGTGAAGAGAAGAACCAAACAAAAAGTATTCATTTTTCATAATCCAGTAATCCACTAATCCAGTCAGGAATGAAAATATGTGTGACCAAGAGGTAATATGAATCTTTAATTCCAATATTTTTAAAGGTACCTTGAGGTTTTTTCTTGTCAAATTGTTGGTTGTTAATGTAATATTTACTTGATAATTAGATACAATCAATCAATAAATGTGAATTGGGTTTATTAACTTAGATTTTGGAGTGTAAATATTGAAGTGCAGATCAACATTCCTAATAGGCCTACAACAATTTAAAAAATTGAAATGATTGGTGTGTGAGTAATTTTTGTCACAACAGCAAAGTTTTGCACTATTGTTTTCAGGTAAAAATCTAGTTTCTAATGATATATATAAATTACTATAGGTTCCCAGGGTCACCTTAATAATATGTATAATTACCAAATCACTAAATTACAAATGTTCTAATAATAGTTAATTAAACATATGGGAGTTCTTTTGACTCTCTGAGTATTACCAGTTATCACAGATATAGGCTTGGTTTTAACAGTTTAAAATACAGATTTAAGTATAACATTAGTGTACTTAAATTAACTTTTCAAGTGCAAAACGTAACACTAATAGAGACAAAAAAGGTCTGGAAAATAAATAATCATATTAAAAGTTTCTTGTTAAATTTTTTTCCAAAATGGACACTTATAAAAATTTACAATTTCTTCAGGCAAATGGTCCTTGTAGGATATAACAAATACAATCGAACACACATCTAGAGACTGTTAAAATATCAGAGAATATTCGGTCTTTACACATTTTTTGATTGTTTTTATAGTACGCTTAACATTTACAAATTAATTACACCACCCAGATTTATTACGCTAATGTATCTAATATATTTAGAATGACCTGGACCTGCCAGATAGATTGAGATTAGACTTTAGAAGTATAACAAGACATTCTCGAGGGTAACAAATTTATCTTACAAAATAAATCGACTGGTATTTTAAAAAACAAAATGTTAAACAGATATAGTCTTTCCATTATATGGACATCACAAACAATTTGACAGTTATCGATATTTTATTAAAATACACAATATTGTACAAATTCATTTTGTGTGGTTTTATTACACAGTTTAAAAAACCTCTTCTTTCAATGTCCGATTTGAGGCTGGTTTTATTCCATAAAACATTCACCATCCATTTGTAAAACAACTGAACAATCCACCGAAGAATAAAGTCAACTGTTTACCGAATAACAGACACAAGGGAGGAAAACAGTGCTAAAATATTAAGACCGGAATGATCCACAAGCGACTGTCATTTAGTTGGGACCAAACGGACCGTAGGCACTTGGTAGTGTCAGTGGGGGCAATGTGCTATAAGTGAGGATTTTCACCCTGGAAGGATAGTGGGCGGCCCTGTCGCTCCTGTAGCAAGAGGCGATGAGCCGCACGATCCATTTCCTCTTGTGTCATGTCTAAAGCCTCTTGCATCTCACGAGATGTGTAGCGGACAAACTCTGGATCACAGAACTTGCCCAATCCCTGCTCCACCAGCACCTAAAAACCATTATGAATTGAGCTCGATAAATTTTACACATTTAGAGTTTTTAGGAAAATGTCAGTGTTCCTAATGATATTGTACCAACACCGATAAATAGTTTTGGATTTTTTACCAACCATCACGTGACCTAGGAACAATCCTGATATTTAGGAAAAATAATGGTGTGACATTTCAACTGATATCTATTCAATTGGGTTAACTGAATACATTTATAAAATTTGATGGACTAACCAATAGACTACGAGGTGGTGGTTATTTTGTTTTGACCTTTTGTTGTTGTACTAGGAGTTCACAACGTAGGTACTCTCTTTGTGTTATTTGGAGAACATAAACAATTCTTTTTTAAATGATTACTGATAGAGCAACTCACTTTGTAGGAGTATATTATTCTTAGTACAGGTTCACATATCCAATTATGGATACATTTCTAAGACAATGACCTGTATGGAAACATGCAATTTCAGGGGAAATGGGTATCCTCACCAACACTCAAATGTGTCTACGAGACTCCAAACTTTTCAAGGTCAGAGTGAAAAAGATTTTAAGTAGTGTGTTAACTTTCTCTCTCTCACAAGCCTTTCAAGACATCACAGACCACACTAAATTGATGAAGCAAGTACTCACCCTGCCCACTAGACTCTCAGCTGATCCTACCACTTCTGGGAAGTTGGGTCTTCGGTCAGCTGGACTGCCGGGGAGGGAGTGAGAGAGTCTGTCAGTGGCTAAGCTGCCGTTTGATTCCCCCACCTTGCTCCCTGCAACAATATAAAACGTTTTGTTTAGTTAAAATACAAAAATAAATAACATGCCCAATATTTGCTGATATTACAAAATAACATTGACTTGATAAATCCTGGACTGAAAGACCAGTTTAAAATTTGTTGGATTTATTGGAGGACCTAAAGATCACAGAATTTAAAATTACTTAAATGTAAAATTCCAATTCTGCAATGAAATCATAAGCAGGGGTTTTCATTTAACGATGCTGGGATTTAATGGTTTGTAAAACAGTGATAAGAATCCAAAGACTCGTATTGGTATCTCTGCACTTGGTAGCTCAAACAGTATTTTTTACACGTGTTAAATGATTGGAGATCTTATTTATTTATATTTTTTCATAGTTTAGAAATGTTAACTAAACTTAAGCTGAATATTAAAAGAAAAAAAATGATGAAGTGGAGATCTCAGTGTTGAAACTTCTACAATCTACAGTCCTAATGCAGTATAGACATTTAAAACTTAAGAATCAGTAAACAAACATTCAAATATAAATACTTTTGGCATTAGTCAGAAAAAAAGAATGGAAAGACTATAGTTGTGGACTTAGGTGTTGAGCTCTTGCCCTCAGCCAGCCAACTATTGTTCACAGGTGCAGCAGCTGATCCCTTCACTGCCACTCGACTCAACTCGCAATCGTGAGCTCAATAGTGACAAGTAATTATCTTTAATATTACAAACAAAGCAATATTATGGTTTCTCTAAACATTTGTGACAATCTTATACAAAATTTCAGACAAATCGGGCAACGTTTATTGGGAATGAGAATATGAATAAAATATGTCTTCAGAAAATTTACCGAGCTCCAGGTGATTTTACTGACATTTTTTGTAACTAATGACTAGAGAATTTTTGTCTAGAGACTAGAAACCAGCTGCTTACTGTGTAGTGCGACAAAAATAAATTAAGATTGCAGAACTTTGAATTAAAACATACATGCATTACGAATAAATATTTATTGAAAACCATTTGTAAAAGTGCTGTTATCACCTCTGCCATGGAAGGATGCTCGGTGAAGTAAGGGAGATCGTTTACTGAGACGGTCAAGTTGAGGGTCAGGCATAAAGCCTACAGCCACTGCCATAGCTTGAGCCTGCGCGAGCTTGAGCCCACCAGCGATGCGCGAGAAGCTCGGCGAGGGCTCACGCGGCCCCCCTCCACCACCAATGCACCCGAGTCGCGCGGCACGTCGGGGCGGAGGCGTCGGCGGACTTACTTCGGTGTCTCTTCGACTCTCCTGCATGCTGTTAATGTTACCAAACTGTTAGTATGCACTCCATGCTCTGAACAAACCAACGGGGTCACAAAACTTCCAGGAGGAAACAAAAAAAAATGCTGAAGTATGATCAGATGTTGTTAAAATGTGAATAAAACGTCAAACAGAAATAAATAATCTGTTGTTAATTTGACATTTGTATTGAAAGTTGATTTGGTACATTGGCAAACTTCTAATATGGGGAAGTAATTATTTCATTATTCCTGATACAACTTTGTGCTCCCCTTTACTAATCCAACTCGGTTTGCAAACACAACTTTTAGTTATATAGGCTACAATTAAGTTGTATATTTTTTATTGAAAACAGATTAGCAGTTTTACAACCTGTTTTACACATTTTTTACTTTTAACATCTACCTATACAGGGTGTTTAAAAAAGGTGGGGACATAATTTACGTAGTGATTCCTTAGGTCAAAATAAAAAAATCAAGAATAACATTTTTCCAAAATCGCTTTGTTAAAGTAGATATCCGCCATTTTGTATTTTTACATAAACATTTTTATCTTTGAATTTTTGTCAACCGATCTTTATGAAACTTGGTATGTATGTTAAGGTAGAAGAAACCAATGATAGAGAAAAAAATTCTTGATTCAACTTAAAATTTCAAAATGACAACAATTTTAATCCTTAAACTTCAATCACTAAAATTAAGACAAAACATAACCTTGTCAAAACAAACTTATAAACACACCCTTTCTATTGGTGTAACAATAAGCTATTGGAAATCACAGAAACAGATTTACCAACCGTTAAGTTTTGAACCCTTCTTTTTCAATAAATCTGTATTTTAAAGTAACCTAACCATATACACTATGTAATTAGATACTTAGAATTCAATGTATGACTTTAGAGAAAGATTGGGGAATTTTCTGTGGAAAGGGGAGTTACAGATGTTAACCTTAGCTTGAGACCATCATAGACATTTAAAAAAATATTCAAGATGGTTAAAATATTATTTTATTTTATTTTAAAGACATTATTTTCTATTTTCAATGGAAAATCATTATAAACTTATTTATGCTGTGGATAAATAAATTTAATTGAAACCTTAAATAAGTTTGGGCACCTCAACTGAGAGTGTTAATAGTAATGATAAATTTATAAGTTTGGTTGAACTTGGATCTTATTGGTCTATTTAACAGTGATGAAAATTTCTGAGTTAATCAAGATTAGGGGTCTCAATCCCAGGCCTTCAATCCAAATCCCGGGATTTTGGGATTTTTCTTAGCCCATCCCGGGGTTATATTATTTTATGATTTTAACTTTTTACATATTTTAAAAGAGCGAGAAGTCCCCTTGTTGAGTCCTTTAATGTTTTAAACTGGTCTTACCAATGTTACACTGCACAATTATGCAGTTTTCTAAGTAAAAAATGTTCCACACGAACTATCATCACCCATCTTTTCTTATTTACAGTTTATAAATGTTTATATGTCACTCTGTTATTTAATAAATACATACAAAAAAAACAGGAGCAACTGCACTCGCATGTAGCCTATAGGTCACGCTCCATCGAACACTAAACTTGCCAAGACTCACGGTTGGAAATATGACTACTAAGAATAATATGCTAATATGGAAACTAATAAATAAAAATATAAAATATGGGAAGAATCACCAGTTGCAGCGTAACAATATTATGTTGATTGACAGCAATAAAACAATTTAAGGTAAAAAACATAACAAAACCATCTGTGTAGTAGCGTGTGTACGAAAAACTTAATTTAGAATTACAGTTTAAAAAAGACGGCACTTAAAACCAAATACGAAGATTAAGTTATAGACCCTTAATATAAGCTATCTTAATAATGAAATAATAATAGTGTGTTTATAGTTAAATTTTAGGCCTTCAATGTTATTAAGAAAATAATACTTAAATTACCGATTGCCATTTTTTATGTTTACCACACCAATTGCGTTGTTGTCAAAAGTAAAACTTAAAATTTATACCGGTACTATAATTAAATTCTAACTAATGTAAGCCTAATTAAAATTTACAGAAAGTAAATCAAAATATGCCTAATACATTTGAAAGATATATTTACATATTCACACTACATTCACCTATTGAGTTTAATGATAATTGAACTGTCCAATCGAAATATATCAAAAGGTATATCATATTTCATGTTTATAAATTTACTTTCCTTTAATTAAACAGTACATGTTTTTCAAGTGTTAACTTATTTGGTGTTTTTTATTTATTTTCCGTAAGTAAAACTCCTAAAATTCACAAAAAATAAATATAAACAATGGTTTTATAATCTCTTAATCCTGGGATTAAAAGACTCCAATCCCATTATTTTTATCTATCAAAAACTGACCGGGATTCGGGATCCTGGGATTGAGACCCCTAATAAAGATACATAAAGATAAACTAGATTTATTTGGATGCACATGCCGCTGGATGGCTAAACATCAGATCTTTTACACCAGTATGGAGTTCAGCGTCAGTGTCAAAGTGTAGCATAGTGAGCCACGTTTGGGAACAGATGGTAGTCACTCTGCGCCAAATCCGGGATGTACCCATCCAATAACTCTCAGATACGGTTGGCCGTGTTTGGACGGGCGTTGTCATGAAAAAGAAAAAAAAGTTTTCCACAACGCTTGTTTTTGGATGTGCGATCCAAAAACAAGCGTTATGTGGAAAACTTAGCGAAAACATTTTTTCTTTTTCATGACAACGCCCGTCTACACAGTGCGGTCTTAATTTCCAGAGTGTTTCGCAATACCTCTCCGAGTTAATAGTTTGGCCACATTCAAGAAAGTCTACTAAAATCACTCCCTGAGCGTCTCAAAACGCAGTAGCCATGATTTTTCTTGCTGATAGAATCTGCCAATACTTAATTGATTTCTTGGGGGAATGCGTGAGACCCCATTCCATCGACTGCCTTTTTGTTTCACAGTTGATGCTTTACCCAAGTCTCGTCACCAGTTACAATAGATCAATAACATGGTTTCCATTTTTGTCATACTCTTCCAGAAATGTCAGTGCTGCAGCAACTCTTTGTTTTTTGTGGTATACTGTTCAGAACTCACTTGGCACAACATTTGTGGTATCCAAGTTTACCAATCACTATTTCATGAACTCTGTGAAATTTGAGGAAAATGTCCTGAGTTCCGTGATCGTAAAACAATAATGGGGGTTTTCATTGATTTTTACCACCAATTCATCAATCACATGACCAGGCCTACCGCTGCAATCCTCATCCTCAACACTGGTTCGGCCATTTTTAAAATCTATGCACCACTCACTCGTCGGCTTTCACTCATTATTCCTTGGCCGTACACATAAATAATCTGGCAATAAATTTCAATAGATTTGTAATTTCTCGCTAACAAAATCCTTATCACATATCGGACTTCACAACTGGCGGGATTTACACTTGTAGCGCTCATTTCAAAACTCCACTGCATACAAAGTACAGAAGACACCATGCTCTAGCTACCACAGCTGGTTGCTTAATAAATGTAGGAACACTGACGCCAAGATGACGGTCCTAGCCCTGCCCACTGCCCCGCCAGTTCCTGTCCAACCATCTTAGACCATCTAGTCCAACGTGTTTCGTGGGACTCAAAAATCTACTCAGTCTTTGTTAGGGGATGAGCCCCACTGAGATGAGCAGGGAGGCGGTTGCACCCCCCTAGAGCAGGGAAGATAAAAATCAGATGTTGTATGATGTAAGAATATTTGCAATATAGTCAATAAATGACTTCACTAGTTTTTGTGAGCAAAATCTTGTAAAAATTACAATATACCTAATTCTTTAGTACTTATTTTCCAAAATATTTTGAGAGGAGCCTTTTAACCCCCTTCTTTCCTGAACCCCCTCCCCCAGACCCCCTGGTAAGTGGTGCTCCTGTGCAATATTTTGGTGGTGCATTTGGTTAGGCCAACGACCTGTGAGCAGGATAAAAAACTTTTTCAACCATGAGGACACAAGAAGTTTTTTTGGTTCCACAAACGCCAGCCAGTCTGGATATTTAAGCACAATTAAATATTTGTTTGTCTTTTTTTTCTTTTCTTTTTTCTACGCCAGTGGCATTTCACAAGAGAAGTTACGAGAGATTAAAGTTTAGTGGATGTGCCGGGGATTGAACCCGTCCCTCCCGCACCGAAGTCCGAGACGCTAACCACTAGGCTAGCAACACAACCAACTTTGAACTTGACATCTGCCTGAATATTGTCAGACAAAATAAAGGTAATTGAAGCCCACAAAATATCTACAATTGAATAATACCTTGCCTAAAAACATATTTTATTTGTGAATTATATTTCATCCTTGAGTGTGGCTGGTTGGGTGTAAATGATAATAACCAGTGGTAATAAAGTAATATTGCACTACAGCCGTTATTACAGCCGATTACTCCATTGTCGAGTGCGTAATGGTACCCTAAAGTATATCATTGTTTTTTTGTTATATTTACAATGCATGTATCATGGTTTACGTAATGTCTTCATTTATTCTTACGGCAATATGGCAATACTGTAGAATATGTTCGGCATAATTTGAGGCAGGATTTGATTCCTTTACAGAGTTTATTTGTTCTTTATTTCTGGTTTTAAAACAACTACCAATCTGCCCATTGTCCAATATAATAAAAGTCACGTTTTCCACACACGGTATACACCTGAATTTTCTAATATAGGTATGTTGTGGATTTCACAACATACCTGGTTGAAGGTTGTTGCTAGTTCTGTATGCAACTGAATAGTTGTGCCTACTAAAAGGTCGGGTTTCTAGATGTTGGTTTAGTTTACAGGACTCTAATGAAACATATTTTTTATCATATTTATCAATTTTATTTTTGGCTTTCATCTTGATTATCCTGTACAGTTTATCAATCATGTTGGTGCTGTAACCGTTTTACAATTTTGATTTAAAACGTTACACAAAGAGTATTCAGGCAATTATATTTTAGAGCTTTCCTGTATCTTGTATTTTTTTGTACATTTATCAGTTTTC